TCAATTATAAATAAGCAAACAGATTGTATAAAAGATATTAAGAAGTTAAGAGGTTTAAAACTGCACTGTGTAGTGTAATTTTAATGCATGTCCAACTAACTCTAACCAAAGGCCTACATGCTGGATTCAGGGTTCTTTTATTTTCATATAATTTATCTTTTTGTATAATCAGTTTGCCCATTGTGTGTCCTTCAGAAAACTGGACATTTTTAGAGATATAATGTATTTTTAAAATATGATCAATTTATCCCACTCAAAATGCTTGAAATGGAAGCTATGAATTTTTTTGATTTAGGTTTTGTATTCATTGTAATTGTACTAAACTTCCTACATGACCTGGAATGAGGAAAGTTATTTCCAAACATAAATTTGTTTTGGAGGTTTAATTCCTATCCCTATAATGCCCCAGGGAGGCAAACAGGCAACACATTTTTGTACTCCCTTGCTCAAGAAATTTATGCAAATGAAATCAATTTAAAAATTGGTTCAATTATGCTAAAAATAAATAAAAATTATAAAACTTTCAAACTTTTTAACAATGGATCAAACAAAACAAAACAAAAACAAACTGAAAAAAGAAGAAAACAAGGCAACAAGTCACTTGTCAATGAGTGAATTTTGAGACTTTGAAACTAATCATGCAAACTTTTTCCGAGACTTACTCTTCTGAATATATCCAGTATTTAGACTGCAGGGTTTCTTTGGCAATAAAGCATTATCAAACAGCATGGAATCCAGTACACAGGGTCCAGAAGACTCCAGACAGAGACTGATGTTGAGGCTCACTTGGTATTTCCTGTCAGCTTTAAGGTCATACACTTTGTACCTTTGTTTGAATACAGTAAGAAATAAGATAAACTCTCATAATCTTCTAACTATTGTAACTTACATTCTTTTCAAACAGGCTAAAGATTCATTAACCACAATGCTCACTTTTATCACTATGGACCTTTCGCTTATCATCTGCAGATACTGTAAACCAACTTTATTTGCATGCGAGAAATTTTTGTGAAGTTTGCGAGAGTCTTGTCATCGCAAATATTTCTCGCCGCAAAACCAGTCCTTGAAGTGTATGTGTTTACTAACAACAGATCCAAAGGCTCTTATCGTGAATAAATTGTCGCAAACTACTTTATCCCTCATAAATCGCGGAATAAAGTTGTAGGAATAAAAGTTGATTTTTTTCAATTGCCCCCTTTGATTTCAAAACAAGAGGCCCTAGGGCCTTGGCTCACTTTTCTGAAAAATTGTACAAGCTATCACTTCTATTGAACCCTCTAAGTATCTTATATGTTTAAAGCCTTGAAATTCCAAAAATAGGCCATCATGACCTAGTCATTTGGGTAAAAACATTTGGAGAGCCAAAATCTGATAAAGTTTGTCGATTCAAAGGCCCCATTATCTCAAATATATCCATAAGTGGTTATGGTCACCTACTTTTCATTTGGCATACTGTATACAGGGTTATTTTTGCCCCGTGTTATTTTCGCCTTTTCACATCTGAAAACAAGTTTGCCCTGTTTTAAATTTGCCAAAAAGGATTTTTATAAAAGATATTATAGAGTTTAATTTGAATTTGCCCACATCAGACTAGGGCGAAAGAGGCCAAAATTAAACAGGGGCGAAATTTCCCTGTGTACAGAACCCGCAGACTTAAGATACATAAACTGACAACGTTTCAGCTGACACATTCATTCATTTAGGATCAATCTTGCAAAGCACTTTCATTACTTCTGTGTGTATAATATTATATAAATTGGCATGAACATTTGCCCCGAGACACTTAAACATTATTAATAAAATATATTTGATCATATCTGTAATAAAAATGAACAAATGCTTACTTCATTTGGACTACATTCCTCAGATCATAGTGATGTTCAAACACCTTTTTATCAAGAAAAAAAATAGAAAGCTATGTACCGTATGATAATATCAATCTAAAGAAGCCATTTACAGAAGTTTTCAATATTAAAAATATATTTTATTGATAACATTTATGTGATTAGATTGGTAATAACAATCATAGACCTAATGAATGAAATCAATGAAATTATGAAAATTTTACAAAAAATCTAGCAAACGAAAAAAAATCAAATGCGATAATACATCTCTCACCAAACTGGAAGTCATAAAGTGAGATCTCATGAACAAAGTTTTCAATGCCCAGTGAAATCCTTTGATTACAAGGGTCCAAATCTAAGACAGTGCTGAGGGACCTCTGTAGTGGTGTGTGTGTGGTTATACAGCAGTGGACAGCTGTACATGTAGAGGGTAGGTGACACAGTAGTCCAGCTGGTAGGGGGCTAGTCAACACACTGAGTGGACAATCTGTACAGAGTTAGGAACGAGGCATTAATAAATGAATTTAACATTCTTCATAGTATGGACCCTCAACCTCTGCCATCTAAACACTTAACTGAAACAGGCATTGCAATTTTATAGTAAACCAGAAGTCTCTGTCGAGACTGTAGCTCTACTGGTTTATACTTAAAGCAAAGGAAGAGAAAAGTAGCAGCTGGGAAACTTTATAACAGCAATAATTAGAAAAATGATCGTTGCCACTCATCAAAATAAAAACTGATGCACAGAATTATGTATCTTAGTATAGTCTACTTGTGTGCCAAGTTACTAGTATTTTTAGTAACCATGGCAACATTGTTCAATGAAATCAAAAAACGATGCACCGAATTATGTATCTTAGTGTAGTCTACTTGGGTGCCAAGTTATATTGAAATCAGACCAAAACTGTAGGAGGAGTAGCATTTTGAAAGAATTTCACAGAAATTTCTATTTTTAGTAACCATGGCAACATCGTTCCATGAAATCAAAAACCAATGCACAGAATTATGTATCTTAGTATAGTCTACTTGTGTGCCAAGTAATGTTGAAATTGGACCAAAACTGTAGGAGGAGTAGCATTTTGAATGCATTTCACAGAAATTTCTATTTTTAGTAACCATGGCAACATCGTTCATCAAAATAAAAACCGATGCACAGAATTATGTATCAGGTATCCTAGTATAGTCTACTTGTGTCCCAAGTTATATTGAAATCGGACCAAAACTGTAGGAGGAGTAGCACATTGAAAGCATTTCACAGAAATTTCTATTTTTAGTAACAATGGCAACACCGTTCATCGAAATCAAAAACCGATGCACAGAATTTGTATCTTACTTTAGTCTACTTGTGTGCCAAGTTATATTGAAATCGTACCCAAATTGTAGGAGGAGTAGCATTTTGAAAGCATTTCACAGAAATTTCTATTTTTAGTAACCATGGCAACATCGTTCATCGAAATCAAAAACCGATGCACAGAATTATGTATCTTAGTGTAGTCTACTTGTGTGCCAAGTTATATTGAAATCAGATCAATACTGTAGGAGAAGAGTAGCATTTTGAATGCATTTCACAGAAATTTCTATTTTTAGTAACCATGGCAACACCGTTCATCGAAATCAAAAACCGATGCACAGAATTATGTTTCTTAGTGTAGTCTACTTGTGTGCCAAGTAATATGAAATCAGACCAAAACTGTAGGAGGAGTAGCATTTTGAAAAATTGTTTACAGACAGCTAGACAGACAGACGGACGGACGACGGACGCATTACTATCGCATAAGCTCTTCTGGTCTCTGACAAGTATAGCTAAAAAACTAGTTAACCTTTAGTCCATCTATCTGTGTGACTTCTGTAAATGTCATCTGTTTCTTGACACTGTTTGTCTTTCATGTACTGAGCCAGACCCAGATCCTCCAGTAGTTCTAACTGACCATACAATGGTAATGTGGAATTTGGTCTGAAGGCATGCTCTGCCAACCAACTAGACATTGAGAAACCTAAAAAAAAAAATACAAGAATCTAAATCAATTTAGATAAAAGTACCATGGTATTCAACAACTATATCTACTGTAGAGAAAATGAAGACTTATACAAATATAAACACAAAACTTAATAGATTATTTTCCATTCCCAAACTTCAAAAGTTTTATTGTAGTATGAACAATTATTATCTCAGTACCATGTCTACACTACTGCAATGAGTCACATATTCTGTTAGTGAACTTGGCTTGAGGTTATAAAGCATTTTTAGCCAATCAATAGTCATTAGCAATCATTGTACATGAAGTATTTTAATGGTTTTAAATAATTTTCTGCAAAGAAGATACTCTTACATTTTCTGCTATAAATAGTGACTTTAAAAATTTCGTTAACGCATTGTAAGTCGGTTGTCAGTCCCCATAATCCAATATGTGTTTCGTATATAATAAACTTTGTAACTGTAACATTGTTTGAGTTTTATATAAACAGAGGTAATCAGAGATTACAGAGCTGGCCTCAACAAATGCTGTCTTTAAGCAAGACAAAGTCCCACACTAAACTTATAATCTAGAAGTGTGCATCCCAAGATGCAACATTTATCCAAATGAATGTTGGTTTGATAGAGCTTATTGTTACTTTGGATAGACTTATCAAAAATTTCAAACTAGTCAGTCATTCAAGAAATATAATTCAAATCCAGCATCAGAAGCAAGATTGACAGTGTCCATCCCTTGATGCATCATCAATGCACGTTTGGTTTAGATAAGCTTTATAGTCTCTTGATGATATACCTACATCCAAACCTTTAACCTGGTCCAATATCTAGAAAATGTCGTATCTGAAGCAAGTCCAAGGTTAGTGAACTTCCTTAGATGTCTCATCTATAAAAATTTGTGGAGAATGCTGAAATATATGCTTTGACTGCTGCCCAATCCATTCAAAATCATTATATAATAAAATATGTTGAAATCTATGAAAGTTTAATCAACATAGGCCCTATAGTTACTTTACAATGAAGCTGCTCTTAAAACTTTAACCTGGTCACTCACCCAGAAAATGAAGATCAGATCCAGCATCCAAAGTAATTAAGTCTGGTACTTTGAATCCTTACATAATTATGTATTATCCATGCAAGTTTGGTCAACATAGGGATTATAGTTACTTTAGAATGAACCTGCTTTTACCTGTTCATTTGTCCATAGAATGTCACATCCAGCATCTGAAGCAAGTCCTGTGATATGCATCCTTAAATGCATTATCCATGCAAGCTTGGTCAACATAGGGATTATACTTACTGGGAAATAAGACCTGCTCCAGAAACTTTAACCTTCACAAAAATCTTAAATTTGTTAAAAACCAGAAGTCTCTGTCGAGACTGAAGCTCTACTGGTTTGTACTTATAGCAAAGGAAGAGGAAAGTACTTAAGCAGTTGGGAATTGAAACTTTACACTAGCAAAAAAGAGAATAATGATCCTTGAATAAGTTTCTTTATGTTCATAGTGTAGTCTACTTGCATGCCACATTATATTATAATCAGACTAAAACTGTATTTGAAGTAGCATTTTGACAGTAACAGAAATTGCTATCTTTATTAACCAAGGTAATAATGTTCATTGAAGTCAAAAACGGATATAAAGAATTATGTACCTTAGTGTAGTCTACTTGTGTGCCAAGTTATATTGAAATCAGACCAAAACTGTAGGAGGAGTAGCATTTTGAAAGAATTTCACAGAAATTTGTATTTTAAGTAACAACGCCTACACCATTCGTCAAAATCAAAAACCGATACACAGAATTATGTATCTTAGTGTAGTCTACTTGTATGCCAAGTTATATTGAAATCAGACCAAAACTGTAGGAGGAGTAGCATTTTGAAAGAATTTCACAGAAATTTCTATTTTTAGTAACAACGCCAACACCGTTTGTCGAAATCAAAAACCGATATACAGAATTATGTATCTTAGTGTAGTCTACTTGTGTGTCAAGTTATATTGAAATCAGACCAAACCTGTAGGAGAAGTAGCATTTTGAAAGAATTTCATAGAAATTTCTATTTTTAGTAACAACGCCAACACCGTTCGTCGAAATCAAAAACCGATACATAGAATTATGTATCTTAGTGTAGTCTACTTGTGTGCCAAGTTATATTGAAATCAGACCAAAACTGTAGGAGGAGTAGCATTTTATAGAATTTCACAGAAATTTGTATTTTTAGTAACAACGCCAACACCGTTCGTCAAAATCAAAAACCGATACACAGAATTGTGTATCTTAGTGTAGTCTACTTGTGTGCCAAGTTATATTGAAATCAGACCAAAACTGTAGGAGGAGTAGCATTTTGAAAGAATTTCACAGAAATTTCTATTTTTAGTAACAACGCCAACACCGTTCGTCGAAATCAAAATCCGATACACAGAATTATGTATCTTAGTGTAGTCTACTTGTATGCCAGTCTACTTGTATGCCAAGTTATATTGAAATCAGATCAAAACTGTAGGAGGAGTAGCATTTTGAAAAATTGTTTACAGACAGACAGACAGACAGACGGACAGACGGACGGACGCCGGACGCATTACTATCGCATAAGCTCTTCTGGTCTCTGACCAGTAGAGCTAAAAACATTAATTAACTTGATAATTCTTATAGTTGAAAATGAAGCATCTGAAACCTTGACTTATGCAATGAAATACCTTAAAAGCTATTTCCATGCATCTCTGATTAATGTAGGGCAGACATACTGTAGATGGACATCTTAAGACTCTCTTTTCTATGCCTTATATTTTTATGAAGTTCAATGGGACAAATTTCCATGGAAAATTTTAACTGCACACATAGCATAAATTAATACCACGCGAAAAAAGTACTTTTACAGTATTTTGGAGAGATGGGAAATTAAAAACTTAGCTTGTTTTATCCAAAGATTCAAGATACTGTAAATCACTTTTTATTTGTAAGAACTTTATTCTTGCATAATAATACGAGACAATGAGCTTGCGAAAATTTCATTCTGGCATATAATTATAATTATAGTATTCCTTACATTTATATAGAGGAATAATGATACGTGAAAATCATTTCTCACTCATATAGAGTCAATGACTATCAATGAAAATAAGGTGTCACGAAATTTTCATGATCTTCAGTTATGGTCTTTTTTCTTAACTGCTTGGCAATTTAAGGCATGGTTACTTACTTGGAATAAAAAAATCTTTGGCCATAAAGTTGCACACAGGCTTTGGAAACATCACATTTCTGACAATGATTTCTGTCAAGGTGCAGTTGTCTGGTTCATAACACACACTTAGGTTAACACTCATCATGTAGTGAGAGTCAAGGATCAAGTCATAGATGACATAGCTGTTGAATAAATGTAAAAAAAAATGTTAGCACTAAATTTACAACATCCAACATTTACTGTTGAAGACTTACATTCCCTTTTGCATTATTGGTCACTATACAGTAGATTTATTTTAATGAGTTAATACAAATAAAAAATTACATTTTCAAAATCCAGTAGATTCTTTGATTAATCTGCAACACAACTGATTGTCTAATTCAAAAATTTTAACATTTAATCAAATGACAAAGAGAATTATTATATATCTTGATATATATCTAAATATATTGTAAAGAAAGTATGTGGAAATTTAAAATCAAATGGAACTGCAATGTTAATGTCTTTGGGCTACTGCTGCATTTGTGACTTTACAATTATTATAGCTTTTCCTCTCTCTATTCATAATGTCATGTACAATATCCATGTGCTAAGTGGAAGTTACTAATGTTATAAGAATCTTTTATAATTACATAAGCATACATGTGATATGTACCGGCGGTACAGGAAATGTCCCGTATTTTTGACCCCCATCACGGTGTCCTGGCGGTACCACAAAATTCACGGGAAATGAAAATGTGTACCTTATTTTGAAATGTTTACCGGAAACCGCCATTTTTCTTTCATTCCCGCTCTCACAACACCGGAAATCTCGAAGTATGCGTGACTTACTGCCCATAATTAATGTAAACAAAACAGCATGAACAAAGGTGTGAAATATTCCCGTGATAATTACATCGTAATTAGGAGATATCAAAGCGTTTTGTTTAGCTGATTGCTTTTTAATAGGACAGGTTTAACAAGGATTCTTTTAAACTGTAATTTATTAAAAGTAAAGACATTTCAATGAAAACACCATTCACAAGAATCGGAGACACCTTGTGACAGCAAAACGAAAATTTGTCCATTATTTAATCAGGCATACTTATTGCCATACGTATTGTCTATTTAAACACAGATTAAGAGAAATGATTTTTAGTACAATTTTAATAATGAAGCTGAATGGAAACGACCAGATTCATACAATAAAGTGTTTTTAAACACTGTACTTTTTTACTAAGTTCAGCATTTAGCATAGTTTTATGCCGAAATTCAAAATTCTTCAAGAGTTTCTTGAAATGAAAAATAATTAAATCATAATACATGTTATGCAGTGGTGCACCTGAACATTGATTTGAAATTTATTATTTAAAGATAAACATCTTACATTGTTTTTTTGGTCGATATTTTGTACCGTTTTTTGGACCGTTTTTTGGTTAGCAATGTACAATATTTTCACCCAAATTCCAATATTTTGAAGGCTGCGGTACAGTATCTGGGTCTAGAAATGATCACATGTATGCATAAGTAGCTCATATTCCATTTGTATGAATCAGAAAACAAAATGTGTCAACTTGGTACAAGTCAAATATAAAATATGCAACAAAAAATAATTGACTGAATAACATTTGGAGAAATGCAAGGTCTTTGCATGTAAAGCAAAGGCAAAGTACTAGCCAAACTAGTACTAGATAGCTTGGTTTAAAAAAAAGTATACCCTACAAAGCAGTTTTACAAAAAAAAAACAAACAAACAAACAAACAAAACAAACTAGGTGTCCTCTGGTCAGTGAAATATTGACATGCAATGTTGTTCCATAAGAAAACTTTAATAATAGACCTGTTAGTGTTATGAATTTAACACTTTTATACCATTGGACTTTGAACTTCCTGGAATGACCTTAGATCACATCATCAGACCATAATGAATTCTGTTACAGTACCAAGTATGAACTTTCAGCCATTCTTCATGACAAATTTTAGCCTGAACAAAAATTTTATACTTCTTCTGGCAGTGAACTTGAGCTTGCCAGAATGACCTAGTGTCAAGCTTCCTATAATGAATGTGGGTGAAGTGCAAATAAGATTGAAACAAAGAAAGTGAACATGTTTTGAACAAATAAACTTCAAAGAACAAATGAAAATGATATAACAACCATAAAAGTTAATTGTATTTTTATACCTTATTCTATATATTCCCTTGAGATGAAATTGGTTTTTTTGTCCTGTTAAAAAATAAATGGTTATTATTAAGCATAATATTTTTTACTATTCATAAACTGTATTTAAATTAACTCGAATAAAGCTGATTTTCATTAAATCTTTTAAAAGCAGGCCATTATTACATAACATTTGTTAACATCAGGATAAAGACTTGCCAAATTCAAACTCAAGAAGAGATATTTTCTTCCGAAATTCCTCAATTCCAAGAGTCAATTCAAGATTACAGGAGTCAACATCAATAAACCAAGTAAATGTGGTCTCCATCTCTGGATCCTCAGTACAGCATGTCATAGATGTACACCTGGGCCCCACCACACAGTATGTCTTCTTCTTCATGTTGTATGGAAGGCCAGAGATTCGACAGGCTGAAAATTTATCAGGAGTATTTCATAAAATTCTGGTGCACACACAAAAATGTGCATACTGAAACCTAACTATCTTGTCAATAATAATGAACTACTGTCAGGTTCATTGCATACCCTTCTTTCATACCAACCATCTTGCAACAAAACTCAATCTTTGCTTTATAAACCTAAAACCTGTATAAAATTTTCAACTTTTTAATCCAGTAATTTGACCTTGTACATGTAATACAGGGATATGGGTGCAACATATTTTCTATCTGCATAATTTGTTGTCAATTAGAAGGTTCTACAACCTTTGCTACAAAATGGTAAGTAACTTCAAAAGACAAGAATATATTACACTTTCTGTGACCTTAACTTTGTTTTCAAAGATCTTGTTCCAAGTCCCACAATCAGAAAAATATCTTCAAACATGTAGCAAAAAAAACTTAATTCTTTCATTGGAGTATTCTTCTCTAAATGGTATAATCTACATTATCAATTCACCACATTTGTGTCCAATATTGTCAATAAAATGCTCTGGAGATAGTTTTGGCAAAAATACAATTTATGTCAGTGACTTGTGTGCAAAAATAACCATGAATCAGTTTAATATCTTGGATTCATATTATAAACAATCAGAGTGGAAAATAGGACTCTTAGTTATAAGAGTATAATACTGGCATAACCTGTAAATACACTGGTTCACCAAATTACCCCAAAAAATTAAGAGTGGGAGGGGGGCTTTTCCTTCATGACAGTTAAATTATTTGTATGACAGTAAAATAAATTACAAAAGTTCATCATAACTGCATCATATGTGGCTGTAAAATTTTTTACGGGATACAAAATTTATCTTTTCCTGTGTTGGCCATACTTAATTTGTTTTTTTTTTATATACTGTAAAAGCACAAATATTCGTGGGGGATTAAATTTCGTTTATTTCGTTGTTAACAATATTCAACGAAATTAAATCCCACACGAAATTGTATATGACTATATACTGGATAGGGTTACTTTCAAAACAACGAAATTAAATGCCCACGAAACTATTTTTCATGACAAAACAACAAAATTTTATGCCCATGAAAATTTGTGCTTCTACAGTATATAGAAAATGATAGAAACCTTTATCTTGAGTCCAGCCATTGTAGGTGGGCCAGTATGGTGCTGCAGTCCTGCTACATCTAGATCTCATTCTGTAGCTGGCTACACCTGTCTGATCTTCAAATTTTGCCACAATATGAGGCAATTTAATATTTGCTGAATACCCACTGTTATTTTTCCAAGTAGAAAGTGATTCCGCTGAAATTTATGAAAAGTGAATGCAATTAACAGTTGTGACACTTACAAGATATATAATATAATTGATTTTATTAACATAAATTTTCAGTTTTAGATACTGGTAATTGAATAATCTGAAAGTGATTTCATGTTTTTTTAAAATTCCATTCTTTATTATTAATAATCCTACCTGGCTTGGGTTGAAGATCATACCAATGACATGATGCTTTTGGAAGAAGCATGTTTTGAAATATTGTTTGGTTGCTTACTTCACAGATACTGGGACTTTCAACACAGAGACTAATATTCAAACTGATAAGGAGTTTGTTGGCATGGTCCAAATTTTTTATCTCAAAGCTGAAAAATATATGCATGCATACATGTATATTTTTATTATATTTCTTATAAAACACAACAAGGGAAGGTGAGGAGAATTATTAACTTTCAGAAAAAAATAAAGATCTGTTACATATAATTAACAAAATGTTTGTTTGATTTATAAACTTACTCCATCTTCAAAACACCTTGAAGCCATATACTCTTTTTCATTCCTGCAGAAGAAAAAATATTACTCAGAAGAGTATGCATACAGTAAAACCTGTACAACCAAGACACCAAAGGTTCCGAAAAAACTGATTGGATAATACCACATTAGGATTAGAGAGAAGACTTGTTAACTTACTTGCTGATAACATTTTGTTTATTTCCATTGATACCTCCCTGAATGTCCATCTATCAATGCCAACAATTATTTCTGAAGTACAGGTATCAATTTGAAGAAAAGTGTGGAAATATAATCCTAAGACACTGCTTGAAACACAACACTCTAATCCTGTGCAAAGACTTGGAAGATGGCAGACAACACTACTGTTAAGGGTTCTCAAACTCTCATTAACAGGACACTCTAAAGAAATTATCAAGACTAGTTAAAATCCCAGTGGAACACATCCTTGATTTGAAAAAATATAAATTGAAAATAGATTTTTATGTAAAAATTATGAACAATTGATCTCCAACCCTCTAATTCAAAATAAAGGGAATGCATTTAAAGCATAAATAAAGGACTACAGTATTCAATGTATCTTGCCAGAATTCCAGTCGTTGCTGTTGACAGGAACAAATGGAGCTCCTGTTACGTTACAGTCCCTATTCTCCTTAAACCTGGACAGTTGTAGAACTTCCATTAGATCCTGTAATGCATTTCCTTTCAGTGGTGTGGAATCTGGATATCCATTGGTGGCCAGCCAAGACTTTACAGAGAAAGCTTGAAAAGAAAATTCATCCATTTACAACTAAACTGATTTCCTGCTTTCTAAATTCTCAGCTGTTTTAAAAATGATCTACATGATTCCCAAGTAAATTCTTAAGTCAGATATTAATCTTTGACTCATCCTACCTGGAATAGGTTCCTCTGATTTCCAGTTACAATATGGCTGGGAATTAGACTTTGGCAGTCTGGTGTTGGAGAGGATAATGTATTCCTCACAATTAGAGGTACCTTCCCAGCAAGAACGAATGGAAAAACTGACCAAGTCCATGTTGGCATTTGGTAGATCCTCAAGTGTGTATCTATAAGAAAGGGGAATAATTATTACAACTTAGCTCTGAGGATTAGTTTTTAGCTCACCTGAGCCGAAGGCTCAAGTGAGCTTTTCTGATCAGAATTTGTCCGTTGTCTGTCGTCGTCGTCGTTGTTGTTAACTTTTCACATTTTCATCTTCTTCTCAAGAACCACTGGGCCAATTTCAACCAAACTTGCCACAAAGTATCCTTGGGTGAAGGGAATTCAAATTTGTTCAAAAGAAGGGCCACGCCCTTTTCCAAGAGGAGATAATCATGAATTAGAGAAAAATTATTGGCATTTTTAAAAAATCTTCTTCTCAAGAACCACTGGGCCAGTAAAGATGAAACTCATGTGGAATCATCCTCAGGTAGTGTAGATTCAAGTTTGTTCAAGTCATGAACCCCGGGGGTAGGGCCGGGCCAAAATGGCCGATCAATGTTTTACATAGGAATATATAGGAAAATTCTTCAAAAATCTTCTTCTCAAGAACCAATGGGCCAGGAAAGATGAAACTCATGTGGAATCATCCTCAGGTAGTGTAGATTCAAGTTTGTTCAAGTCATGACCCCCAGGGGTAGGGCGGGGCCAAAATGGCCGATCAAAGTTTTACATAGGAATATATAGGAAAAATCTTAAAAAATCTTTTTCTCAAGAACCATTGAAACAGGAAAGATGAAACTCATGTGAAATTATCCTCAGGTAGTGTAGATCCAAGTTTGTTCAAGTCATGACCACGGGGTAAGGGTGTGGCCAAAATGGCCGACCAAAGTTTTACATAGAAATATATAGGGAAACCTTTTTAAATCTTCTTTTCAAGTACTTCAAAGCCAGGATTAGTTATATTTGTATGGAATCATCCTCAGGTAATGTAGATTCTAGTTCGTTCAAATTATGATCCCCTTGGGGGTTAAAATTCAAGCCCCCCCCCAACTTAAGTTAACTTTCAGGTCTGATCTGATATGTGTTTTTTCCTAGCTGATGTGCTCAGGTGAGCGCTGTGGCCCCTGGGCCTCTTGTTTGCTTGTACCACAGAATTTTGTGCAAGATTCTTTATCCCTATGTATGGGATCATAATAGTTAATAAAGTAAGTAAATGTAAGCAATATTCTTACATTTATTGTTTAGTTATTAAAACTTACTTTAGTTGATAAATTTCACTCATGTCTAGCATTTCTTCTGTACCTAAAATTCAGAAAAATTAACCAATATGACTAAAATGTTTCTTTCACAAGATTAAAACAAATTATTATAATTCTGAATGTTTAAATGAACGTTACCCCAGTTGTTGTATGAGCTAGGCTGTATTTCCCTGGTGAACTTGTCTATCCCCACACTGATTCTGTCTTGACAGTAGTCCAGACTGAGACTGATAGTTACGTGTTTCATCAGAGGTTCAGCGTACAGACAACACACCACATCAGAACAGGAGGCTCCCAGGTTACAGCTGATGGCTCCTCTTACAACTGGTACATTATTGGGAAGGGCAATGGGGCAATCTTTGTAGAATAATTCATATATTAAATTTAAAAATTCCAAAGTGACTTCAAATCAAAAAGAGTTTGCATTTGTTAAGCTATAAGAAAGGAATTAGATAGCCTATGCCTTTTTAACACCATATTCACCGATAATAAATAATATATCAACAAACAACACATCAACTTTACCATTCGTCCATCCAGCAGAAGGGGAGGCAAATATTCCTGATGTTCTTTCACAGACTTGGGTGGAGTTATACAGGTACCCATGCATTCCTAGCTCCTCCTCCAGTCTAGCAATGCTGTGTTCTTCCATTGTTGTGTACTTATTCTGTGTCTTCCATGAACTGAATGTGAAATCTAATTCAAAAATATATGAAATATCATGAAACCATCTTTTAACAATATGCATATTACAAAACTCAAATTTCAAACTCAAAACATGCATTAAATTTTAAAATTTTCAAAGTTAAACAAATAACAAGCAATCAAAAAACATTGATTTTTAGCTATTAATTGCTTTTTGGTGAACTCTCACCCTCCACTGGGATTCCAATCTTCCAATTACAGGATGATTTGGGAAGAAGTGTGTTATTTAGTACTGTAACTTCTTGTTCACAAGGTAATCCATCTTCTAAGCAAACCATAAATCTAAGAGTCACTCTGAAAGTGTCTGCTCCTTGAAGATGTGTGACCATAAACCTGAAATATTTTGCTATTTTTTTATGCACATTCAAACCAAAAGAATTAAATCTGATCTAAATTACAAAATGTGTAAATTCATCTACACACACAGTGATAAGAATAATTTATTTTCCACTCTGATAAAAAACAAGAGGCCCAAGGGCCTTGATTTGCTCTTCTGATAAATTGTACAACCTATCACTTGTATTTGAAGCCTCTAACCCTAAGTATCTAAAACCTAAGTTGCATCAACTGATAAAAAGTTTGATGATTCTTAGCCAATTAGGACTGAAGATATTTTAATAAAGCTATAAAAAAAAAACCATGAGTAGGTAACGGTGACCTACTTTAAGATTGAAGTTTTCTGAGGACTCATGATGCATTAATAGACAAACTAAGATTGAAGATTCTAAGCCAATATGTATTTGTGATATATTTAAAACACCTTGACCTACTTTTTGGTCTACATTCTTGGAAAACCCAAGATGCATCAACTGACAAAGTTTGATGATTCTAAGCAAATAAATACCTGAGATATTCAAAAGTAGGTCACTGTGACCTACTTTTTGGTCAACATTCTCTGAAAACCCAAGAGGCATAAACTAACAAAGTTTGATGATTCTAAGCCAATAAGTACCGGAGATACTTAAATATAGCCATAAAATGTCAAAAGTAGGTCATCGTGACCTACTTTTTGGTCAACATTCTCCGAAAACCCAAGATGCATCAACTGACAAAGTTTGATGATTCTAAGCCGATAAGTACTGGAGATACTTAAATATATCCATTTAATGTCAAAAGTAGGTCATCGAGACCTACATTTTGGTTGACATTTATCAGAGGCCTAAGATGCATCTGCTGACCAAGTTTGATAATTCTAAGCCAATGAATACCTGAGATATTCAAAAGTAGGTCACTGTGACCTACTTTTTGGTCGACATTCTCTGAAAACCCAAGAGGCATAAACTAACATAGTTTGATGATTCTAAACCGATAAGTACCAGAAATACATAAATATAGCCATTAAATGTCAAAAGTAGGTCACCATGACCTACTTTTTGAGGCTGTTCGAAATTCATGACCTCCCAAAACCCAAGATGCATCAACTGACAAAGTTTGATGATATAAGCCGATAAGTACTGGAGATACATAAATATAACCATAAAATATTGAAAGTAGGTCACCGTGACCTAATTTTTGGTCATCACTCTCCGAAAACCCAAGATGCATCAACTCACAAAGTTTGATGATTCTAAGCCAATAAATACCTGAGATACTGAAATATAGCCATAAAATGTCGAAAGTAGGTCACAGTGACCTACATTTTGGTCAACATTTTTCAGAGTCCCAAGATGCATCAGCTGACCAAGTTTGATGATCATTGGTCTGAAGGTAATCAAAATATGCCTTTTAAACAATTTGAAAACAAATGCCTGCAAAATTCTAAAAGTAGGTCACAGTGACCTACTTTTACTTAAATATGTTTTAAGGTCCCAAGATGCAGCAACTTACAAGATTTGATGATTCTAACCCTCTCAGTGTCTGAAATAATGGGATGAAATGTTTTAAAAAGAATAAGTCATAAAGTTCAAAAAGTAGGTCATGGTGACCTACTTTTAAGTTGACGTTGTTTAAGGACCCAAGATGCATCAACTGACAAAGTTTGATGATCATAGGCCTTAAAGTGTCCTAAATATGCCTTCAAATCAATTTGAAAACAAATCCCCGCAAAATTAAAAAAGTAGGTCACCGTGACCTACTTTTGAGTTAACATGATGTGAAGTCCTAAGATGCATCTACTTACAAGATTTGATGATCCTAGTCCTTATAGTAAGCAAAATATAGACATTTTCATTAATTGTAAATTTAGGTCAACTTTGAAGTGACCTTGAGACCACGCCCTTTGCCCCAGGGTCATGCCTTGAACAATTTTTAATCTTCAACATATCCTGATCATTGTATGTAAGTTTGGTGAAAATCTGCCTGGTGGTTCTGAGAAGAAGATTTTTTTGCAACCAGTACTTTTGGTTTTGTTTTCCTGATTATCTCCCCTTGTTTTAGGGTCCCAACCCTTATTTTAGTATAAATGGTAGCCCTTGGGCCAAGGATACCCTGTGACAAATTTGACACTGATTGGCCAAGGGGTTCTTGAGTTATGGCCCATATTCTAAAAAGTTAACCAGTACTTTTGGTTTTGTTTTCCTGATTATCTCCCCTTGTTTTAGAGTCCCAACCCTTATTTTAGTATAAATGGTAGCCCTTGGGCCAAGGATACCCTGTGACAAATTTGACACTGATTGGCCAAGGGGTTCTTGAGTTATGGCCCATATTCTAAAAAGTTAACGCACACTGCACACCGCACGACACACACCGCACAAATGGCCAAAGCATTAGCTCTTTGAGCCTTTGGCTCAAAACTTTAAAAAGGCAATATTTCTTCTATATTACCTTAACCTGTATATCCCCTTCATCCAATAATCATGCCATTCATCAAACTTGAAATCATACATTATGGTTGGTCTTACACTAAATTTATCAATTCCGTACTCAATCACCCATTCACACGAGTCATCATTAAAAACTGGACTGACTGAGATTTTAGCCTGGTTAAGTCCATACAACAGCGAACACTGGTACAACTGGACATCATATGACAGGTCACATAGTCTGGCAAAGATGACAGTTTATTTGTTTTACTGTGGTGGGAGAGGTAGAGAGAGAGAGAGAGAGAGAGAATTTATTATGACTTCACTTTATTAACTTCTCAATTTTTACACCATATTTGAATAAATGAACAAAATACTTTTGATAAAAAGGAATTTTTTTACCATTATTCCATCCATTGCTAGCATACATAGATTCATTCTTTTGTCTGTTACATGAAGCATTTGATACGTAGCTAGATATCCCCATATAATCATACAGATAGACCAAATCTCTTTCTGTCAAATTTTTATATCAAGCTGATTATCTAGGCTGTAGTTTGACAAAGAAAATCCTGCAATTAACAAAACAAAAATAATTAAAAATCAGCTTAAGACGCAACTAACATGAAAACAATGTAAATTTTCTATCTTGCTCTTTTTAGCAAACAAACCTGGTTTGTCATAGTCTAGCTGACCCATGCATGTTTTCTTTAAGGATAGAATTTTTGAAAATTGCTGCAACAAAGCTACAGGGTTTGTAACTTTCCCAGCACAGTGATACATTAAGGTCGACAAGGTAGAGACTCTCATCATACAGGTCAATAATCTTGTAACTGACAAAATAAATAAATATTCATTACATGAAAAAGAGAATATTATACATGTACGAGGGTTGTCCAACAAGAGGCCCATGGGCCACATCGCTCACCTGAGTAACTTGGGTGATGCAGATCTTTATAATTTCATTTATAAATGCCCAACAACCCCCTTCCCTTTTTTATTTTAAAACTTTAGAATCTACACTACCCAAGGATGCTTCCACATAAGTTTCAGCTTTCCTGGCCCAGTGTTTCTTGAGAAGAAGATTTTTAAAGATTTGTTCTATATTTTTCTATGTAAAACTTGGAATTCCCTATTGTGGCCCCGCCCTACCCTCAGGGGTCATGATTTTAACAATTTAATATCTACACTACCCAAGGATGCTTCCACGTAAGTTTCAGCTTTCCTGGCCCAGTGGTTTTTCAGAAGAAGATTTTTAAAGATTTGTTCTATATATATTTCTATGTAAAACTTGGATTCCCTATTGTGGCCCCGCCCTACCCCCAGGGGTCATGGTTTTAACAATTTAATATTTGCACTACCCAAGGATGCTTCCACATAAGTTTTAGCTTTCCTGGCCAAGTGGTTCTTGAGAAGAAGATTTTTAAAGATTTGTTCTATATATTTCTATGTAAAACTTGGATTCCCTATTGTGGCCCCGCCCTTCCCCCGGGGGTCATGATTTGAACAATTTAATATCTACACTACCCTAGGATGCTTCCACATAAGTTTCAGCTTTTCTGGCCTAGTAGTTCTTGAGAAGAAGATTTTCCAAGATTTTTCCTATATATTTCTATGTAAAACTTTGATTCCCCATTGTGGCCCCGCCCTTCCCCCGGGGGTCATGATTTGAACAATTTAATATCTACACTACCCTAGGATGCTTTCACATAAGTTTCAGCTTTTCTGGCCCAGTAGTTCTTGAGAAGAAGATTTTTAAAGATTTGTTCTATATTTTTCTATGTAAAACTTGGATTCCCTATTGTGGCCCCGCCCTACCCCCGGGGGTCATGATTTTAACAATTTAATATCTACATTACCAAAGGATGCTTCCACATAAGTTTCAGCTTTCCTGGTCCAGTGGTTCTTGTGAAGAAGATTTTTAAATATTTGTTCTATATATTTCTATGTAAAACTTGGATTCCCTATTGTGGCCCCGCCCTACCCCCGGGGGTCATGATTTTAACAATTTAATATCTGTACTACCCAAGTATGCTCCCACATAAGTTTCAGCTTTCCTGGCCCAGTGGTTCTTGAGAAGAAGATTTTTTAGTGACCCCACCCTATTTTTGACTTTTCTTGATTATCTCCCCTTGTAGAGGACTTGGCCCTTCAATTTAACAATTTAAACTCCCCTTCACCCAAGGATGCTTTGTACCAAGTTTGGTTAAAATTGGCCCATTGGTTCTTGAGAAGAAGTCGAAAATGTGAAAAGTTTACAGACGGACGGACGGACAGACGGACGGACAGCTGGACAGACAGACGGACAGACGGACGGACGACGGACAAAATGTGATCAGAAAAGCTCACTTGAGCCTTCGGCTCAGGTGAGCTAAAAAGTTCTTGGACAATGACGTTTTTGTTAAAATAAATGGTTCAATCTGCATCTATTGTATATCAAAATATTTCTCATGAAAAAATAAGTCAGAATGATTTAATTTTTATTAATGAAACTTAATATTTTTGTAAAAATCGGGGTCTTTAAAGATCGCAGATTGACGTTACGCTAATTTCATTATAACGTCAAATATTTGGATATTGACTAAACACACTTTCATGGACACACACAAGATTTCTTTTTAAAGGTGAAACGCTCTTTAAAGTTCTAGCAATAATCTTTAAGTATATATTATAATTCATTTAATTTTTAAATTTCAAAAGAATACACACAAATTTACGAGCGTCATCTAAATTAACAGTTTGTATACCCAAACTGTACAGCCCAGTCCGACGATGCGCTAGATTTATAACAACGTCATGAATAGAAATCTCCATTTACAGTTAATTACACGAGTTTTTAAATTCTTGTAGTGTCTTTGTATTTATACACACTGTTGAAAAATCGTATATTCTAATCCCGAATCGGTACATTCGATATATTTCAATAATTTTGAGTTGTTTTAACAAACATTTTGTCTCTTACATCGTTTCAACCGTTATGAAGCTTAATTTTTTTACCGGACGCTGCCCCGTGCCGATGGACGATGTCACTTTTTCTGTTGAGTTTTGACACGTCCCTGCTAAGGTTTTCTTTGTGTATTTTCGTTGTCTATATAGTAAGCGATATTGAAGATATCATAAAATGATAATAACATCTTTATTTGTGTTACATAAAATTTTTATTAATTTTTGACTTGTTTTATATAGAAAATAATCATTTTAATCTGAACTCTTTATATCTGAGTTTACATCATTTTAACCTTGGTCCGTGCGCACTATCCGCGACCTCTAAATACCCCGATTTTTACAAAAATATTACGTTCCATCAATAAAAACTAAATCCTTCTGACTTGTTTTTTCATAAGAAATATTTTGATATTCAACAGATTCATATAGAACCATTTATTTTCACAAAAACGTCATTGTCCACGAACTTTTTGGACAACCCTCGTATATCCCCATTACATTAAAAGATCACTACTCTCCTGTCTAGAACCTTATACATGCCAGAAAACTTCAACAATCCTTAAGACTTCATGATAAATTCTAGACCAGGTCATAAGCAATCTTAATGATACATTCTCAGTCCACAAAAATATTCATAGCATTATTAGTTTCTATCCTAAATAAGGTATGACCTGCAGAGGGAATTTAACTTTTTAAAATAGTATTGCCATGAACTTGATCAAGTTCATGACAAAAGTTCAAATCATAAGAAATTATGTGTTAAGCTACAAACTAATTTTGTTCCCTTCCAGTGACCTTGACCCTCTCAAATTGACCTTTCTTAAAGGCCATAACAGATATCAGGTTATATTTATGCAATCGTTATATAAACCAGAAGTCTCTGTCGAGACTGTAGCTCTACTGATTTGTACTTATCAAAAACCATTGTACTTTTTTATGTATCTTTGTGTAGTCTACTTGTGTGCCAACTTATTTTGAAATCAAACTAAAACTGTACAAGGAGTAGTGTTTTAAAGGAATTTCACAGAAAATTCTATTTTTAGTAACCATGGCAACACCGTTCATCGAAATTAAAAACCAATGCACTATTCTATGTATCTTAGTGTAGTCTACTTGTGTGCCAAGTAATATTGAAATCAGACCAAAACTGTAGATGGAGTTGTGTTTTAAAGGAATTTTACAGAGAATTCTATTTTTAGTAACCATGGCAACATCGTTCACCAAAATCAAAAACTGATGCACTATTCTATGTATCTTAGTGTAGTCTAATTGTGTGCCAAGTTATATTGAAATCAGACATAGTAGCGTTTTTAAGGAATTTCACAGAAAATTCTATTTTTAGTAACCATGGCAAGACCGTTCATCAAAATTATAAAAACCAATGCACTATTCTATGTATCTTAGTGTAGTCTACTTGTGTGCCAAGTAATATTGAAATCAGACTAAAATTGTAGGAGGAGTAGCGTTTTGAGAATTGTTTACAGACAGACGGACAGCTAGACAGACAGATGGACGGACGACGGACGCATTACTATCGCATAAGCTCTTCTGGTCTCTGACCAGTTGAGCTAAAAATAGGATTTCGAGATTTCTTCCTTACAAAGTTATAGAAAGAAATCAAGTTCAATTCCTTGATTATTTAAAACAAAATAAAAACCTACAAAACAATACTTGTTTGCATGAAACATTTACATCAATCATAAATATCCAATATGTCTTCCTCTTAAAGTTATGTTCCATATCGCAATTGCATGGATAGATGAATTTTAAAAAATGCATGGCTAGGACAAATCTTTTAAGTCATCTTTTGTTTGCAATGTGTATGATAAGCCATATTCCAAGGTCACCTAAAAAATTTGATTTTGTTTGGTAGTGAATTAAATGAATTTGACAACACATGGATACTTACTCCAATCGAATCACTCCCAGCAAATAATATTGTTGTTCTTTACCTACATAAAATAATAATATTAATAATTAAATACAGTAAACTTCTATCATATTGATTCACATTGCTTGTTAATAAGTCAAGTTCTGATAAATTAAGAAATTTCAGAAAAATCATTGACTGTTAAAAGCCCTCAAAATCAAATTAAACTTGTTTAACTCGACCAAGTGTCTGCTTTCTTATCTTTCATGTACTATTTTTCGAACAGGTTCCAATATAAAATCATAATGAAATAATATAAGTACCCCATTGAACATCTGTGAAAAGTATTGCAGCTTGAAGTTTTTCAATATTGAGAAAAAGCATTCTGATGCAGGGATCAATCTCCATTGAGACTTCAAATGTAGAATTTGTTAAATCTGACTCCACACAACAGATGACTTGGTTACAGGTTCTTGTCAGATTACAGGTTAAAGGGTATGCGGTCAAGGAAGGTAAGGAATTCTGGTCCAAACAGTCTGGAAATAGAAACATTTTTTTCCAAAAGAAGAAAATACCGTAAACCAACATTTATTCGCATGCGAGAAATTTTTGCGAGGTTCGCAAGAGTCTTGTCATCGTGAATATTTCTTGCCGCGAGCTGGTCCTTAGTCTCATTTTCCATTAAAAACAGTTCCAGAAAGACTTGATCGCGAATAATAATCGTCGCGAACTAATTTACTCCCAGTAAATCGCGAAATAAAGTCATCGCGAATAAAAATTGGTTTACAGTATTAGTTTTGTCAGTTGTAAAATTATAATCTGATTAAGATACTAATAAGAAATCAAAATCTGAGTACATTTTTTCCACTTAGTATTCATACTGCTTTGTTCTCGTTATACATAATTACATTCATCATATCTATGTTGCTAAAATTACCATTATGCCAGCCTGCTCCACCTGGAGGAGATTTGACTGTACTACACAAAGAGTCAGATTTGAGGTAAGGTCTTATGGAGAGGCTCTCTAAGAGTTCATCTGACTGGTGTTTCTGTAAAACTTCCCCCTCTGGTTTGTACATCTCACTCAACCACTTGCTTAGGGAAAAATCTTAAATATAATGTTGAAAACACTGTTATAAGAATAAGATATTTTGTTTTATTTTTAAGTGTTAGTACTAGAAGATTCCAGGACATCAGTTTTTCAGTCTATCCATCTGTTTGTCCACAAAAACTTTAACCTTACATGTATGCATACAACTTTTGATTGATTGGAGCTAAAGGTTATACAATGCAAGTGTGTTCACTGTGATAAGATCTTCTTTTGGGTACTAATACTTATAACTTTTTGGAGTATGACCACTTTTGTTAAACTTTACCAAATATTAACCATTCATTGGCCATAACTTTTGAATAATTAGAGCTAGG